AATTATATATTAATGAGAAAGAATAAAGTAGATGTGAACTACAGAGAGATTGAAAGTTAATAAGGGAATTGGGAGAAAACCAAGGAAAATAAAAGAGAATGTAAGAGCTAAAGGAAGAATAAGTAAACAGAAGAGAGTGAAAGAAAAGGGAGAGAAAATGAGTGGAAAATGAAGAGAAATAAGTGAGAATAAAACAAGATAATAGGGAATGAAAAGATTAATTTTAAATTAGAGAAAAATGAGAGAGAATATAGCAGAATAAATATATTAAAGAATATATAAGCAGATACAACAATAAAGAATAAGAAAAACTAAACGAGAGTGGGAAAGATCAAGAGGAAATAAGACAAGAAATGGATTTAATAAAAAAAGAGGAAAAGTATTATTGTGCTAATGAAATACAATGAAAGTAAAAATGAAAGGATGCGAGGAAAAATGGAAGAGGAGAAGAGAGAATATGAGTTATTTTATCATGATATAACTTTCTAGTCTGCTTCTTGATTTTTGCTGATATAGTTAACATTTGTCACTGTGATTCAAAGTTAAGGCAATATATATCGTTTACAATCGAGATATATGACCATCATATTAACATTTGCACATGACCGACGCTCTTGTCTCTTCAAGTTGCTGAATTTGCCAATTGCCTTAACTTCGTACACACGCTTCAAACTAAACGATTGCTTAACTCTTTGAGTGCTGTGGGCGCATACATGTGCTTAGAATTCGCTATAAACCATCGGCATTTTGAAGAGCTCTTATTTGCACGTTCACTGTTTCAGCTTTTTAGCAACGATTTCAATTGTAAGCTTTATTGCGCTGTGAGTATGAAACACTAATTTATTTTCGTTCTACCTGCTATCGTTCGCCAGTCACAAACGAAACGTGCGACAATACTGCTGAGTTCCGGCCGCACGGAGCGCTTTCTCGTTGCGCTGCTCCGCACTCAAAGGGTTAAATTAGATCAATGTCATCTTTATAGAACGCTCATCTTCGCCAGTCCTCTGCAAAAGATCCCGGCCAGCGATCCTTTCGGTGGCAAGGACCTCGTGCCCGGCAGAAGTTCGATGGAGCGCAACGTCAGAGAAGATCCTACCCCGGTGCTGGCGCGTCTCAGCCGATCGCCGGCTGATCGAGACAAACGACGGGTTCCCGACTACACCAGACACCGTCGCGTCTACAATGTTCAGCAAGAGCACCCGGTCATGTATCCGTTTATCCATTCGCACGCTCCACCTCAACCTCAGCCTCAACATCAGCATCAACATCAGCATCAACACCAACATCAGCACCAGCATCCACATCAGCACAGATTGCCGTCGGTGGACCACTCGGATCGCGTGGACGACTTCCAGACCAACGAACCGTCGCAATCGTACCGAAGCAACGTCGCCTTTTCTCCCCGCAACAGTCTATTCTCCGAACACGCGAGCAAGAGGTCGACGATGATGACCTCGAGCGAGCAGTACGACAGGTCCATCAGTGACCGTCGTCCGACTGATTCATATTCGCTGAATAGAAGACACCAGTGCACCGGTCTGACCAGGTCGTTAACGGAACGACGTCCGAGAGTCGCCCGTTTGGACAGGAACTTCCGAAGAAGCTTCACAGGCAGAGTGGAGGATTATAGAACGGAGAACAGCAGACGAATGAATTTCAGCATGGAAACGTCGTTGTAACAAGCATGATCGAGCAGTCTATTAGAGTAAAGTGCAAGTCTCGGTTAGAAGCGACCGAGGCTAATTCTTTCGTTAACACAAGGTGTCTCTGAATCAACTTTCTTGAAAGAAAACCGAAGATCATTTCTCAATATAGGTCTAATTAAAAGAATATCGTTTCACGAGTCACTGATTTCCTTGGGTATCTCTGTAAGCGTCAACTGAAAATTACGTTGACACGAAATACGTTTGAGATGAATCAAAAAGAAACCCTGAAATCCATTCGACGAGAATCGCGTTCTTCCAAGTTTCCTTTACGTCGCGACTAATACGTTGATTAGTTTGCTTCTCGTAAAATTAGACCTTGACGTACGTTTAAGTAGTAAAATAATCAAGTTACATGAAAGACAGTGGTCTTTAGTGATAGCAATGAGGAACTCGATTTCCCATGAAGGATATCTCGTCACGCAGAGTTGATGATTTAGAATCACCTTGCGGTAACTCGCCGAGAGGAAGAGACAGTAAATTTCTAACTAAGTGACCGATTAGCCGGTGCAACTCGCTCGTAAATACGGTTGTACTCCATCGTCGTGCAAGTTTTCCTCTTCTATTTACATTATAGATGGGACTTCTAGAATCTAGTTAGGTACAGAGCGAGCCATTGACCGAGCTCGGTCTAGACCGAGCTGTCGACTCAGCCTTAAAAAAAAAAAAGTTGTTACTCCTTCGTTCCACGCTACTTGTAAATATATCCGTCCTACTACTTTCGAATAACCAGAATACGCAAACGGGTCGTGCGGTTTCAAAGAACATTCCAACGCGAGCTATTGCTCGTGACGTCTTCGCTTCAAGACGGCACTCTCGGAAATGAGCCGCAATGTTGAGCTTTGGGTCGTTACGGTCGGGCTGTCGGTGAAGCTCGCGAAACAGGCCCGCGTTCACGCGCCACGTTTAGCATTAAATACGATCCGTTTAGAATATTTCGTTGTTAAACTATTGATTAAATTATCTCGTGCGGTAATTGTACTAGACGGCTCAATTAGGGATTTGAGAAGATTGCGCGATCGGCTCGTTTGAGTAGCTCGACAGTAGGAAGTTCGAGACAACGTGTCAAAGTGTGCCTCAGTAAACACTAACAGCAACATTGGACCAATGTTGTAATTTCTCGTTCAGCAACGTAAGTTCAATATACCATGCACTGTATGTAACAATTACATTCACGGCAAGCATGATGACGTCAGTGACATCATTAATACGTAAGTAACACGCCACTTGTCGTCATTATTTTAGTTTGCTGAGTCGTTGCTGAGTCGTTGAGTGGGAAATTAGAATATTGTTGTAACCATAGACATAGTAAGAATAGACAGTCTACTTGACAGTGAGGATCAGATAGAAAAGGAAGACAGAAAGCAAGTGCCATGTAGTTTCTTCTCTCTAACTAGAAAGGAGTGAAAGAGAAAGATGCATGACACCTATCTTCCGTCTCTTTTTACCTGATCTTCAGCTTTCGTGCTTCATGCTCGGTTTGTTCTTTTTAACTGAATTGTCTAAACTGGTGCGAATTGGTGCATTAAGTTAGAGTGAGACAAATATATTTTGTTTTACTCTGACTTATTACACCAGTTCGGATAGTTCAACTAAGAAGAATATACTTCAGGTCTATGGTCTACTGGTAATCCCAGACAGCATGCAATACTTACAAAATATTTTAGAAATATACAGATTAAATATTTTATAAATATTCTAATGTCCGAGATTTTCAGATATGAAAAAGATTATGATAAATATTTAAAAATATTTATGAAAAATATTGATCATAAATCTTTCATAAATTATAATCTTTTTTATAAAAGTATTTATGAAAAGTATTTTTCATAAATATTTTTAAATATTATAATCTTTTTTATACATAAAAATTTCGGACATTTGAATATTTGTGAGATATTTAATATCTATATTTCTAAAATATTTTATAAATATTGTGCTGTCTGGGATGTCACTGTTAGTCAGTGTTTACTGCCGCACGATCACGGCAAAAGTCACAAGCGCCGAACGAAATGTTGTCGTGGCTCATTGGAGATACGATCGTATTTTGCGCTAAATGTGTTCCGTGAGAGCACGGAACGGAGCGTACAAACGTAGATGCTTCGCATCGCTGAATAGAGCGCGCTAAGCTAAAGTGATCGCGCTTCGGGAGTGCTCTAAGTACAATTAATTTTCCGGAATGACGTGCCTCGCTAATTTAGCCAAGCCAATTCGAAAGTTACTCGCGCGCGATTTACTATTAATAAGCGTACGCTATTACAAAACATCGAGTCAATTAACGTGCGCAAACTACCGCGCGTGTTGTGGCCAAAGAAGAAGAAGAAAAATAAAAGAAGTAACGTTACCTTAGATTAGCGTAGACGTCGAAATTGAGCGCTTTCCGCGTTGTCGTCGCGCGCAAGTTTAACGGGCTCGACGCCAACATTTAGGTCTAATGCGAATATGCGTCGGTATCCGCGCGTACCGACCGAATCAGGCCGATTTATTCGTTCGTAGGTATTCACCGTGGATATGGAGTGGTCATCTGGAAAAAAAGAAGCGACAATTCCAAGTTACGTATCGTATCGTTACGTATCGTTGCACACTTCCAAGCTCCGATTTAATTACAACCAACACTGACAATTATCATCACACTTCTCTTCCCGAGTTTCAATTTTTATGTTTATACTTGCCTCATATTTGCGCAAATGAGTCGAGAATTCACCACCTTACCGGTTCCATCCGCGTCGGATCGGTTTCCTCTCAGGTCTTTATCATTGGCTGCGTTCAGCAAAGAAAGTTGCTTTGCAACTGTTGTAAAATTCGTGAATCTGATTGATACTCTTGGATTCAACTAAAATTAAGAGCATACTCAGATTCACGAATTTTACAACAGTCGCAAAGCAGCTTTCTTTGCTGAACGCAGCCATTGCTCCTGTATTTAAACGTAAACGACAAATTGAACGAGCGTTCCACTTGTTACTAATTGTTAAACAAATTACACGAGATATCTATACATATATATATTATATATATACACACATATATATAAATACGTATGTAAGTCGCGTACACGCATACGCTACGCACAGCCTGCGGCAAGTGGAGGAAATAATCGAGATCTACAAGAATGCGTCCTTTTGATCAAAAGGAATGCAAGTAACGAAAGTAAGGAAATAACGGAAGAGGGAATCTCCCAAGCTTAAAAGACTAGTCCGCGAATTGTTAAGGACCAAATTTAAGAGAAGACTTAGTCTAAGAGTAACGAGCTTGACTTCGTGGAACGGATTCTTGTCGACCTCTCGTTGAGCCTTTCGTTTCGTTTCGGAAACTGTTTCACGCGTAGATGTGCACAAGATGCGTGCTCGCTCAAGAGAGCGATACTGAATTGCGCGTTTCTTATGGTAGGGTAAAGTGAGATAACTTGACGTTAATCGATAGTTCAATAATATACACTGCACGCAGCGATTGTCAGGCGCGCACGAAAGCGCGTTTTTACGCGCAGCACCCTTCGTAAGGAAACGTCGAGTATCGTTGAGTTCGTTAATAGACGTTCGCTAACAATCTTACAGTCTCGGTATGTGCGGTTTTCGCTCACGCACGCACGCACACATTACCGGCATATGCCTTTGTCGTGTTTGTACCTTAGATTCGTAATTCTAAGGCTAGGCGAGTAAATAATACTCGAAAAAGATTAAAAAAACGTAAATTACACAATTCGCACATATTCGTACCGGCATAATAGCCTTGACGTCTGAAAGATGTCTAAAAAGAAAAAAAAGTAGGACGTCTGTAAGACGTCTTTTACGAGTTCGTGCTAGATAGTAGCTAAGATTTCTCATTCACTCGCGCATCGTGTCAACAGATCTCATACATAATTATTGATTATTCGACAAAGTAGCGAAAGTATAGTAAGTGATATTTCCTTCATTTCTTTTTGCATGAGCAGGCATTACAAATGTGACGTCGACACGCGACGTGAGTGAGTGAAAAATGCTAATTACCGCTGCGCCATGGGATGTGACGACTATCATGCCGGTCTGTGTGCATTTCGCGCGGATGCGGTTGATTCGGGAGCTCGAAAGAAATTTGCCGAAGATTTAGCTGGAAAAAAATATAAAAAAAAAAGATACGTTGCTATAGCTTTCTTACCGAGGATGTTTGTACAACGAAGCCGTATTTTTTTAGCGAAGTGTAACATATTTTACATAAGTGGAGTTCGGTCCACGCGTTCCAGTCGGGGAAGCATGTATGCTTGTTAAGTAGGCTGTTATGTATAACAAAAAAAGTATGCTACGCTACGAGCCAAATAACGAGCCAACAGTAAATCCGTCGTTCAACACGCCAGCGTTTACTTTTAACCTCTTGCGGACAATCTACGACGTTACGTACTTTTAGGACGCGCAATGAGATCGATTTTGCTCTATCATCTCTCTCTCTCTATTTAAATAAATTAACAATACCGAACTTATGCCGTCTCAGAAAAAAAGTGCTCTTCTAATTAAACGTCGTTATAGGTCGAAGCTAAACACAGGAAAAAAGCGAGAGTACGATGAGAGCGGAATTACGCACGCATACCCGTTAGTGTAAATCAACGGTAGTGGGATGTTGTAGGATATAATTATTATTAATTACCATTATTATACAATGTTATAAATAATAAAGCGCACGACATTGCTGTAAAAACAATATTGGTACGTAAAATAGATGTTATAAAGAAAGGAAAAAAGACAGTTTTATATTCTTCATTAATATATTCATAGAAAAACATGTCCTATCTCCTGTACACATTAAGACTGATACAATATTCTCTTTGTTTCCTGCTTTCTCTTTATCTCTTTCGGACTCAATCCTAAGCTTTAAGCCAGAAAAAAACAGAAGATAAGAAACAAAACGCAAAGAGTATATTGTAGATCAGGCTTTATAATCATTAAATACATTCACATGATACCTAAGATGTTTGCAGAAAATTTTAATAATGCTTAACATTATTATATTGAACATTATTCTATATAATAATGCTGAATATTGCTTGACTTATGCTCTATAATCAAAATTATTTAACCGCGCTTGGGACTTTTGGAAAAAGGATTTAATTTTGATAGCCAGAAAGGATCTCTGCAAAAAAAATTTCATTTGTGATTTTATCATATATGTTGAAATACATGTAAGTAATATACATGTATATCGTTACATACGTTTTCCCTGATATCACATCCACATCCTCAGCTTCTTTAATCTTATTTTCTTTGAGTTTGGCAATTAATTCTGACCTATATTGAATCTTTAGAGGTTGCGGCTCCTTCTTTGTAAGAGCAGTCCATTTTAGACATGCTTCTTTGAATGTCAAGCCATACCATTCTATTTCTTCCCTTGTGTACTAAAAATATATTAACATATAACTGTAATAATTATATATAAAACTCATATTCTAAGTATAATACAGATGACTCAGAATTATCCATATTTCAACATTAAAATAACTTTGTTTTATTTTTTTCATTTCTATTGTTAATATCTATGAATTTTGATAATCCTAAGACATCAAAAAAGAATCGAAAAGGAAATTAAGATATCCTTACAGCTGACAGATATTGCTCGTACTTAGCATACACCTCATCACGTTTCTCAGGATCATCAGGATAAAGAGTCTTATCTGCCAATGCTATAAGTATCTCACGTTTCAATTTTATTCCAAGTAGAGATTTTATGTCGTTGGCTGGTGTCTGTAAATAATAATCATTTATTCGTGAACAATAGAATTCATGAAATATACTTCTGAAACTGATGAATCAAAGATAGAAACTCATAAAACATTTTTCAAAATTTTGCTTTATCAATTTTAAATTACCTTTAATAAATAATGATCGAATCCATAGTTTTCATGAATCAATTTTATTAATCTATAAGTAATCACAACTTTAATATATGAGTCGAGAACTTCACTATAAACAACTGATCTCTTCAGAGAAGGCAACCAAAAATGTGCAACTCTTCTTTTAAATTTTCCCTTCTTCTTAAAGCCTTGTACAACAGCTTCACCTCCCCATAAACCTTCATGCATTTCCTTAGGGTATAATAGAGATAGTGGTACATTTTGCACTGGAAATCTGTCAGCAAAATTATAACAAGCAAGATTATAAGATTATACAACAAAATTATAGGTGGAGTTTAGTTATTTAGTAGGAATTGATTCCTAATAATTTGTAACGTACACTTCTCCAGTTTTCTCATTTCTTACATATTTGCCTTTTTGTTCAATATAATGAACTGCAGATGGTGGTGCACCCCGTTCTCTACAAAATTTTTTATATGCCTCTGGCAACAAGGCACCAATTCCTCTCGTCCACCTTGATTTTTGTACAAAGTACAGTTTCTATAATAATAATAAGTTTCTATAATAAGAATATATTTTCTTATATCTTTTAACAACATAGCTTAATAAATTATGAAAAATAATATTTTTTTAGTTGAACATCAAATTATAACAAACCAAGAATGAAATATTATATACAAAGATTTTATATATTAAATTGTATATTTCTTATATAAAGTAACAGAATAAAAATAATTTTAAATACTCCTACATAGAATGACAATTAACTAATATTACTAATTCAGTAGTCAAATATATTTTCTCAGTTCGAGGTTAGAATAAATAAAGTCCCGAATTCCCTTTTGAATCGCATTACAGAACAATATTATTTACATTACCTTACCAAGCTCAAGCTTGTTCGACATATTGTTAACTAATTTTCGACAAATTAAGTCAAGACTAACTTGAGAACAAATTAACCGAATACTACTTTCATAGCGATTCAGGCCATGTTCCACACATCCGTTTAATTTTAACTATCAATTAAGTCCCAATAGTGATTGGTTAATTCTGATTAACTCTTCTTAATGTCAAATGCGATTGGTCAAATCCAATGGAATAACCAGCCAGTTAACTGAAGGTTGTGGAACTAACCCCAGTCGCTTGCGCGTACTAGCGAATGAGAAACATTTGATACTGTCGAGAATTGGGCCCTTGAGTGCGCATTAAGACTTGTTCACACAGTTTGTCCTTATATTTAAAGTCATTTTAAATACATCTTCACAAACTTCTTAGCCAACAAAACGATCCGTATGGATGTTGTATATATCATTTCACTGGCTAAGAGATATTTGAAAATATATTTAAGACGATCTTAAATATAAGAGCGGACTATGAACAAGCTTTAATATATACTCAATGTGCATTAGTGCAAGCGGCCGTTATCAGAGATGGAGTATGATCGATCACGAACAATCGATACACGATTGTTTAATTAAAAAATCGATTATCTTCTTCATGTCTCCAAAATTGGTTAATATCAGAGTTGATAGCTTTTTAATTTGATATTATTAAATTTTACGGATTATCAAGGGACGTGGAAAATTCACGTATATTTGGTAAGAATATATGTATAAGCACCATCTGACTGGCATTGTATAAATTAAATTTATATAATGGCTTCGTGTGAGTATAAGTAACTTAAAAATCAATATTTCTAATGTGTATTCTTATATAGATCATCATTTCTTGCATCTTACCTTTTTTTTTAATATACAAGAGCAAGAGATGTGATAACAAAGTTTTTAATATATCTCAACATTACAATACAATGTTTATAATTTAAAATTGGAATTTACATTTGTTTATATTTCTCGATTGGAAGTGCCTGGTTACAAAATCACAAGTTATTTTATACAAGAAATTCCGCAAACATAATTTTCATCACTACATATAATGAGCATTACTTCAACGCCGAAATCTTTATGTTGTAGTTATAATTGTGAAAATCATTCCTCACTAAAGTTACTACGATATGGAGCACTCCAAGTCAGCATCCTTTGGCAGGCAGGGCAGCATCGAGGCAACGGCCCTTGTAATATACGTCATCGTTCCATAACTTCCACTGGGTGCACTATCATAAAAATGTTGGCAAACGTACGCCGCTCCACCGCATAATAACGTTCCCATGGCTGTCGTTTCACGTTGTTCTTTCGGTTTCGCGCAACATAATGTTGCATCACCCTCGACAATCATCTGTAAGTTACGTGATTATCACATATGAAGGAATGGTTCATCGTATCTTTTTAACATAACGTAATTCTGATGTGAGGAAAATTTCGCTCAGAACATACTGATTTTATATAAATAATAATAAAATATATTGTGCGTACCTGATCTTCCAAGAAAATAGCATTTGCTTTATGTACTAAATGTTCCACTGCAATCAGACCACCCAAAGATGCTACAATGTTGTGCTCAGTAACCAACGTCAATACCATTAGAGCTTCGACAACAAGTTGACGGTATTCCGGCTGTGGTATAGTATTCAAAACTGTTTCTACGGCTAGCGCAAACTTCAGTTCACCTGATGTCATTTCCTGCGTGAGATTCTGAGGCAATACCCTTCCCTCGATTGCTAAACCTTGACACTGTTGAAAATTGTAGCATTTTCTTATATAAAAATACATATAAATAGAGTATATCGTATTCTGTGTGCCAATGATAAAAATGATTTAAATTACAGAATAAAAATGATTTTACCCTTTCAAGTACTTGCCACACACGTGGGTAAAAATCTCTTGGTACTCTGTTTAATGCGCCATCCAGTCGTCGTCTTCGTAACCACTGGCCTTGTCGATCGACTTCCGCCTCAGCGCCGTCAGTTTGATCAGCGCTTAAGAAACCGCCAATCTGAGATTTCTATGCCAAAGAAAGAACTTTATTTTCACGTAATTCGCAAACCATTAAGTCACAACATAATAATATTCAAAATTTTATAATCGAGCATTTTAAAAATAAGATCCCAGATAGCATAAGATCTCCTGAGGACGTCCTAAGGATATCCTGAGAACGAAGAAATGTTCTCAGGACTTCCTCAGGATGTATTCTGGATGTCCCATCTGTGCTGTTAGGAATTAAAACTCAACATTAAACAAATAGAAAGGAATTGAAACATACTTCGGTATTTTCCATACAGTCTGTGTGCTATATATCGTAAATCGATAAAAATCAGAAGAGTAATCGTGACATAAGTAGAATATTATATGGTACATGATATTAATAATCACAGCATTACCTTACTAAGTTTGCTCGATTTGCAGCTGATGACAGAGAAGTTACCACGGCCAACTGCAATATGAACAATATAAACATATTCGAACACAAAATTCGAATCTCTTGCGATTAAATAATAAATAATAATGAATATATAAATACTATACCACTGCTAATGGCAAATTCCTTTCCACTCATGATATGATGCAATAAATTCTTCATCTCGAATGGAGACAGATTTAACAAATGTTCAGAGGCTTCCTCGCCGGTGCAGATCAACGTTCGTGACAATTCCGTCGCCATAACTTGGATGATCAGACCGACCCGTAACCTCAGCATCTCGTGAAATAGCTGCGGTTCCGTTCTGATGAACATCGCCAAATAGACGAGCAACTCCTGCGTCAACATAGCAGTCGATTCATCGTCGCCGTATGCCTGATGGATCAAAGCTCGCAACTCATTCTCCGGCAAAGGCGCAACTATTGTATGCTCATTGGTCGGCGGCATGCCGACGGTCACTTGCTTCTGGCGCACCAGCAGATCGGTAACAGCTTTCGCCAAATCCTCCACTCGTTTACCCAACATACCGGCGCTGTGTCGTACGATACCCCACATTTTCTGCTGACAAGCCTTTTCGTAGAGACTCTTTAACAAATCTTTCACCAGAACGGGATGTCCTTCCTCAAGTACACCCGTGTTAAAATATAGTCCTTTCGAATCCACCTGTAATATATAAAACGTTTATTTAGTTTCTATCGGCTCCAGATTTTAACCATCAAGAATCTTAACTAAGGGAACTATAATGTATAACACAAATTGCAATAACACAAAATTTATACAGGAGCTTGTTAAAAATAAATTAAAATCAGGAAATAACTAACAAGATATTGCAGTATGTCTCCTTGCTCCTCGAGACTTTCCGTTTCACGTAGCATAGACAGTAACTCTTCCACCTCTGTCTCGGCGTACTGAGTTTCGGATACTGTTCTATGTCTAGATACTTTGGGAGAGTTTTTCCATGGCAAGAGTTCTTCCGTCGGCGATGGTGTGCGGTCAATTGTCATCGGTTGAGTAGCGCTGGGAGACAAAGTGGTGTCCGTCACTTCAATAAATGGATTTGTGATTAAAGATGGTCTACGGTCTTCTCCTGCCATACCAAGAATATCAGCTAAAATCATGCAGAAAGATCAACTATTTCTATGTGTACATGTTTAATAATACTAACAGTACTAACAGTACTAATATATAAGATATTATTTATCACATAAACTAATCTTTATATAAGCATGAAAGCAAAGTGTACAATTATCTATGTAAATATTCGTAAAAAACATGAGAAGCAAATCAGTAAATAAATTAAGAGACACATAAAATCAACAGTCTAGAGCGGCATAACGCTTTTTGGCGTAACATTTTTCATAAACAGTCATTATAAATTTCGGTTAAATTCAAGCATATTAATTAATATAATATTCAGTTAGTGCACTTACGTTCTTGGAAAGTGGTTCTAGGAACCGCGACAGGAGGAAGACATTACGTTTAAGAGTCCTCTTTAAAAAACATATAGTCAACACACAGTTAGCAAATGAAAACCATTCCGTCCAGAGTTCGTCGGCGGAACGAACATTACTTACGTTCGACGGCTATAGATCGGGTTTTCTTTATCGCGCCTTTCACGGACATCCTGCGTCGCACGTTTTTCCCTGTACGAGTCGGTCCTTGTTTGTTGAGAAGTCCTGTACGATGAGGGAACGAACGCATCAGATGTTCTTCTAAATACTGATGAACCTTTCAAACATGAAATGAAAAACACTAACACACCCGCGAATTGGCTTAATTATCTTACGTTGATTAAATACTTCATTATAATACTTCGTATAGTAAAAATACTTTATGTTTGTCATTTAAATATCATATACCTGAGGATTCAGCTTGTCAGGACGGCCGTCTTCGGAACTTCCTAGGAAGCTAAGATTCGTAATGCACGAGGTACTCAAGAAATCGTTCAAATTTCCTAACGACACTCTAGTGCCATTGATGTAGCCGCTCTTGAGCTTCTTCATAGTGGTTATCATGGCTAAGGGTATCTTACCTTGATCTAGAAAAGAATTACAGATTAATCTTGATAAAAAAAATAAAAGAATTGTATGTTTTACTCGCTGGAAACAATAACATATTCTTAGCTTCTCTATGTGATTTCTAACAATTGATTTCATGCTACGAAATAGTACATGATCATCATTACATGTACCATTTGTGTTAAGCTTTCCATGGTAGGATGATCTAAAGCTTGCGACGAAGGCATACCTAGATGATTATGAGTAGCGACAAGTGTTATGGTTGGCCTGCCGAGCATTTGCTTCCAGTTGATTGTAAGGAAGGCCAAGTTGGTTGTGAAAGTGTTGACAAGCAGGGCAGCGTCATTTGTCGTGTAGTATTCCTCCGTGTCAAAGTTCTAACACATGCAACACACGTATACCAACAAACACATAGTAAGCTACATTTCCGTAGATGATTTCTTTCTAGTTTCCTTCTAAGACAAAGTGATCGCCCCTCGTTATCTCCGTCGAACATCTTTAACGTCAACACAGCTCACAAATCGCATTCGTTTTTGAAGTCCAAGTGATCTCAAGTCATGTTAGTAATGAACAGCATCACGAAACATTAACGTTATAATCTAGATCATAATTTATAAAAAATTATACCTCACGGATCATCATAATATTTATATATATATATATATATATATATATATATATATATATATATATATATATATATATTTTTTTTTTTTTTTTTTT